GAGTGTTACTTTTTGTTGTAGCAAGAAATAGATCTATAAAGGTAACACGAATTAACTGGGCTCCAGCAAAACTTAATCTAACTTGACAGTCAGTGAAGTGGTTATTGATATTTTGGGTAGAAATTAACAAGGATAGATTCAAATTTGGGCTATAAATATATCCATACCTATGTTCTATAGAGTACCTGCTTGCTGTCTCATAGTCATAAAAAGCAGCACGAAGCACTGAGCAGTGGGCAGCCTCCTTGAATAAAACTTCCTCTGCAACATACCAGCAAGTGACGCTGATTGAAGCCAAAGTAGTTTATCGCTGTGAAATATTCAGTGATTAATTTCTCTTTCCTGTATCTGAAGAACTATTTAGAGAAATAAAAGGTTCTGCATAAGTCTACATCTTGCACTAGGGAAAACAACGTGAAATCCAGATGAACTACGTGGGCAAAGCCTGCTATCCTATAGATTGAAAGCAACAGACTTGTTTGCATAAACGGTAACCTTATAAAAATCTCTATGTTGGCATATTGTTCGTAAAGATTAGCAAAGTGATGGATAACGTACTGGTCAGCTTTATTCAAATTGAGGTTAAATGAATCAATGGCTTCGTTGCCTGATTGCTGTGGGATCAATTTTGTGCACTCATGTGCGATGGGCTACAAGCATGCCAGAGAGACTAGATGATGGTTTTATGCTAACATCTAGATAAGGCCACTGAACTATGTTGCCCTCTCCTTCAGTTCCCTCTCTGATTATACCAGTGACAGATGAGGACTGAATCTATCTAAATCTAGATAATTTAGATTTCAAGCTTAAAATTAAAAAATCCTTCCAATTATGCAAAATAGCCAGTAGATAGCATAATGACCCCAGCATATTCATGCCCCCTTTGGGATTTACAAAGCATAAGTAAAAGACAGGAATGTCTAATCTGTATAATCTTTATTATCACAGGAAAATAAAAACAATCTGAGGCAGCAAAAAAAGTCCTGTTTTAAAATAAGTTTCCATCATAAGCGTTTTCAAAAAGTGCAGTTCAGCTAAAGCTGTGCAGGAAGGACAACCAAGTTAATAGTCTACGTCTAAAACCAGAAATACTAATTTTTACTGCTCTGGAATAAAAACTCCCATCCACAGCAGCTGGATATTCTAAGCAATGGCATGAGGAAGTCCAATGCACACGTAATGAACACTTCAAGCTTCTAATTCTAGTGAAAAGTTTTCTTTGCATTAGAACATAGTTCAAATATGTTTTGCAGCTTTTTTCCATATCAGTAGAGAAGAAATAATGCATGATTCCTCTGAACATAACCAGAGGGCTGTTATTATGTTTCAGTAATTCAAATTAATTTCTGCAAGCAGTTTTAAATTCTTTTAAGCCTAACCTTTTCCACTTAAGCTATTGTTTGGCTCTAAAGGAATAAGATAAAGATTAAATTTTCTAACGTGCATACAGTCAAATAACACATAATACAATACAGGAAATGCAAATAAAAACAAAACTGTCAAGTCACTTGTATGTGTCTAGAGAGGTGCTATTAAATAGCTAGGATTCAAAGAGAGAAAATGAAATGCTGTTTGGAAAAATCAAATTGCTGCTTTCACTGGAGAATTAAACAACTTTTCAGGAAACCAGTAATTTAATATACATATTTACAAAGAAAGTTTATTTATAAGATTTTTGTTTTTAAAGATTTATTTGAGAACAAGCAGAAGATAAGCAATATAGAACAGTACACAAAAGGAATGTATGGGAAAACAAGAGACAACAGAGGTATGAGAAAATACAGAAAATGAAAGACACAAAGAATAACTTTTACAATATAATAGAATAGTTCAGTTGGAAAGGTCCTACAACGACCATCTAGTCTGAATGCAATGTTATTATTATTCTGCATTAGTCTGCACAATGCATCCTCTAAACACATACATTAAAGAATGGATTTCACCAAAAGTGGACTTTCTAGATTACCAAAACTTTGAATAATAAATTGTTAAACTGGAGTCCAAGAAAGGAAAAAAACACCGCATGCTGCTAGTTTAGTTAAACGGGACTTTTATTTCCATTTCTCTCTGTCCTTTCAGTCTGAGGCGAATGCTGAAGAGCACAGCATCTCAAGAGAGCTCTCTTTGCTGTGCTCCCATCACTGTAGTCTGTGGGGGTGGCATTTCATGTACAGCCCCAGATAAATTAGAATTTAGGAACCAAAATGCTTTTGCATGCTGGACAGCAGTTCACTCTGTCCTTTTCACTCCGCAGTCTGACACCATAGGTGCAAAAAACTTACCAGGCATCTACCAGTTTAGGTCAAACGTATCCCACATACTTAAGTTTAACCCAACTCAGAAATGGTTGTTCTTGGTGACAGGTGACTTATCTCTACCTACTGTTCTGTTGCAACTCAAGTTCAGGCAACCAAATTTGGCCCAAGCCCGGCTGTGAAAGACACTTGAAACAGCTACATTAATTTGGTATTTTCACCAAAATCTTGCTTTCTGAGTACTCACGCAGGATAGAAGACTACAGATTCTAGTTTACATTCAGCTTGGAAATAACTGAATTCTCATCTCCAGGTTCTGGGTGTAACCTACTCTTCATACATAAACATCTTCTCTTCTCTGGCTGTATTAATAATTTAGGCCATTATTTTAGGCAGATTAGCACCTCTCACCAAAACATACAGGTGATTACAGACAAACACCCCTAGCCTCTGCTAAGACAGTCCTTGCAGCAATGACATTCTTATTTCTAAAAGTTCAATAGGAATAATAGTCCAAATAGTTCTGCTTGGCAAGATGAAAAATCTTGGACTTTTGGGCTACAATGCTCTTTAGAAAGGATTCTCTGTCTTGTTCATTAACATGACACTTCAGAGCTGCCAAGAGGCAAAAGCAACAGGGAGGAGACAAAGGAAAGGAGAAGATGCTGAAAGATGGTTTAACTTCAACCGGCTCACTGTTTCTGAGAAGCTGCTAGAAAAGGAGCCTGGTATTCCCATTTGCTTGGCTGTTCCTCCAGCTCCCAATGCAGGTGGCAACGTTCTGGGCCTTCTGCTCCCGGCTCAGCACAGCACTCAGTCTCCCTCATACCATGCTAAATAGTTCCACTTACCTCAAAGGTGACAGCACTGGATGACACAGGACAGGGGCCAGACAGGGCTCATGCGCATGTCCGGTACACTGGCAATGAGGGAACTGTTCAAATCACTGGAGTCAGCCTGCCTAAGTCACATTGCAGGCAAGAACTACACCCACAGAGATGACCAGATAGGTATTCATCTGTATTTACCCCTGCTCAAACCAAATGTGATCTCCATACATCACTGTCTGGTTGACCTGCAGTAATTTTTTAGGTTAATTTTTCATGTGCTGTTAGAAGTGATGTCTGTTTTCAAAGAATGTATGTATGTACCCTCACTGATTTATTGAGAGTACATCAAGCATATATATTGGATTCTTCACACTAAATATCTGCAAGAAATCCTTGTTGACTCCCCTTGAAAAAGCTGACTTTAACCTTTTAATCCATTTTCTTCTAACAATATTGAACTATTTCTGTTGTGCTAAATTTTTCACTTGGCTCTTAGAAAAAAATGTGTCTAATGCTGAAAGACATCTACCACTGCACTGCTAAAAGATATAATATGCAATGTTCTTGCAAGATGGATAACTAATTACACTTCAATTATACAGCATATACTACAGCCGTTTGGTGAACTGGACTTTATACCAATACGAGACAATCCATGCGGTTTCATTTCTGTTTGAATATCTGTCACTAGCCACTAAGTCTGCCCACTCCCCTCCCAACCTAAATGCTCTCATATTAAATGACTGTACCTTTCATGCATATAGTCGACTCCGAGTAACAACTGTATAAACCAGTCTATTATTTGTCTTTGAGTGAATGTCTTCCCAGATTCTTTGTACTCTTGAATTTTAAAGTCTAGATCTCCACCCTGAAAGATATTACAACATATTTGTACATTTAAAGCAAGTTTTTAAACTGTCTTCTCCTTCATCAAAATACAGGACTCCACTTTCTTAGACTTTCAGGCTCACTACCACATAGTCTGTAAAATTCACGCTTGCACATGAATTCTGGACTCTCCCAGCACCAAGAGTATACACAACCGAGGGCCAAAATGAGATCAAGCAGTCTGGCTGCATAGGGAAAGTAGGTCAGTTTTCTCTTAGTGTTACACAATATCATCAAAGTTTTCAACTGTTCTCACTTCATGTCACCCAACTTTAGACATATGCATCTGAGCTGGTCACCTCAACCTCCCTTTATAGTTAAACACAAAGGAACAGGCACCTGCATAGTGCAATTATCTCTGCTGTCGAGCCGTCTATCTTAGGAAGGGATGGATCATGTTGTAGAAATGCTGTTTCTCTGCAAAGGTTTAAGATGAGGGTCTACATTGACTGGCTAATACGTAGACACTTAAATCAAGTAAAATAAGTCTGCCTTGATCGGTTCAAATAAGTTTACAAATTTGGGAAAAGCACTTCCACTTACGTCAAACATTGCACAGTCAAGATGCTCTAATTTATTACACTGAAACAACCATGTTGGTGTCAAAGAAACCATGCTGTTCTCTTAAGAATTAAAATACAATTTCTTTAGTTATGATACTTTGTCCCTCTTCCAAACTCACTTTTGCCAGAAACAAAGCAGAAGTAAAGCTTCAAGAATCTGTAGCATGTGTTATTGTAAATACTTCGTTAAAACTACAATTGATCTTGAGGTAACACTAGAAATGGACCAATACGACACACAGTAGGCAGTGAAAATAAACCAGAAAATACATACAGAAGATGATTATTTGAAAACTGTAAGTCAGACATTTGGAACAAGCAGTTGAACAACAGCATGATAAAAGAGGTTTTTGAGGAGACTTACATGAAAACTGTTCATTTAGCTAAAAAACAAACAGATGGTTGTCAGCTGGTTGTTTATCCAGCGTATAAAACAAATGGATTTTGTCTACAAGAATGCACATTAGTGGCAAGCACTGTTTTGAGGTAACTAATCCCAGAGCAAAGGGACTATGAGTCTCATCATATTCTAGTGACAAATTATCTTACATCGGGACAGCTTATTCTCCATAAATCATTACTTTTACATTATACATTCTGCATAAAATCAGAAGTTTTATGTGCTGTATACAAGAAAATAGTTCAACCTGTAAAACTGTACCTGTACCACCATTTCCCATCATCAACCCTCCCCTTCTCTGCCCTGTTGACTCTTGACATTTTATGATCTATTCAGCATTTCTTGGTTTTCTGTTCCCAACATCATGGTGCTTCATATTGCTGCTACAAAATAAGCACGTTCTGTCCTTGCAGATCCATACGTTTCTGTCCTGTACCTCAACATGAATTTACAGTCATTTCTGTGGTCCCTGAGGTTCTAAGTTACAACATTCAAAAGTGAGTGTGTTAAAAAAAAAAAAAATACATTTTGTCATATATCAAAAATGTGTTCCCTGAAAATGTCCTGCAATTTTTAATTATAATGTCTGAATCATCTCATTCACTAGGGAAGGGAATATGGCTTCAGCTTTCCATCTGCCTCCCTGCTGCAGCCCAGAGAAAAGCTCTTCTGGGAACTTGGAGCTCTCAGCAGCTGCTTCTCCTTTGCAACTCCAAATGTTCAACAGCTTCCCCCGGTTGCTTGCAGCAGAGCAGAGGAAGGAAAGAAGAAGTGTTGCTGGGTACCCTGCTGCACGGCAACCAGATGGGCTGTGTCTGAGCCTACTCACGCACCTCGAAAACAAGACTCACCTATTCAACACGGCTGCCCCAGATCATCCAGGGCCAACTGCAGCGATAGTCGAAGACTCAAGGGCTGCTCAAACATGCGTCAGCTGGCTACTGGCCACAAGGGACTATGTACTATCCAGGTGAGGATAGATGAGGTGCTGCAGGCTCCAGTGACTGTTTCTCCCTGTCCCAATGTGTCCTCTCTCACAACCACATATTGCCATGAAAAATGCACAGAAAATAACTGTAGGGCCTACAGAGTTAGGCTAAGTTGGGGGACATTTCCTTCAAAAGGTCTGAGGAGAACAAAAGCAGTTGAATAAAGTACTACATGTGCCCTCAAGTAACTGTATGGCTTTCTACCTTTAAGCAGAGAAGACTGGTCTCAATGTCCTACAATTCATTTAACCTTGATTTTGTGTCTAAAAAAGGAAAATAAAAACACATCATACAAGATTTGCTGAAATACTGCTGCCTGAAACTCTGACGGAGTTTGTTAACCCAATGTTGCATTTGGGAAGGTCAGCATAATCAAGTTCATAAGGAATTTAACAAATAAAATACATAGGGAGTTTCCAAGCTGCATGTTTTATTTAAATGTCGAGTAACACATACATCAGTAACTTATTTAACACAGCTCAGCATCTAGGGCTGATAACGTGAACAGGCACGGATTGCTTTAGTTACTCCTTTTGCTCTGATTTCCTTAGCGTATGTATACTCACATCACAGCTGAGACCACAGTGAAGAGACAAATAATTGTTTGGGGGAAAGCACAACTAGTTCTGGTTTATGATGCATTAAAATGATGCAACTTTTAAAGTAGCAACTTCGTAAAAACCGTACTTTATTGAAGTCCAATTTACGTTACAAAATGAAATCCAAGGATCTTGAAGGCATTTGTGTTTGAAATCTGACTTATCTGACAATGTTTATATTGCCTGTAAGATTCCGATTCAGGAAAACTGCCGAAGAAGCTCAACGAGAAGATCAAAACAGAACACATGTACTACTTTTCTATAATTTCGAGTGAATTCAGTTATAATAAAAGACATCGAGCTGAGCAATGGAGACCAATGTTCTCTTTTGTTCACAGGACAGGTATAGCAGGGGCAGCTGCACTGGAGGCTCACTCTGTGCTACTTATGAAAGAATGAACAAAGTACTGTGACTAATGAGTAAGTCACAGTACTTTGGAGAAAAGAGAAAAAGGCTCAGAGGGTAGTTCTGTTTCCATGCCAACTTAATCTTTACTCTTTGTTTTGAGTCTGCCCAAGAGTACCAATTACTGCCAATCTGGTAATTATTCTATGCATGAGAAAATGAATGTACTAGATTTCCAAATAACGATCAGGTAGCAATACATTTTTCTCATTCTCCGTTTATGTGCAATTTAAACAGGCATCTTTTAGGTAAAAAGATCCAAATCTCCCCACATACAAAGGCAGGTTATAGATAAGAAAATACGAAAGCATACCTTCTGGAAATACTCCCACTAAAATAGAAAAGAAACATTATAGCACTATGCGAAACCTTGCTTTGTACTTTCCTTGTCTGAACATTCAATTAAATACATTGTAATTGTTTAAATGCAATGATACTACATAGTGTGTCCTTTCAGAAAAAGTCAGAAGCGAATCCTAGTGGACCCACTGTCATTCCTAGCAGATTCAAAACTGAAACAATTCAGCTGCATAGCCAAGACATCCATTTCCTCCTCCTTCATTTACCTTGCTCTAATACATTCTCATGTGTTTGAGTATACGACTCCCAGATCCTACGGTAACTCCACACCGAAACATTTTCATGCATGGTAGGTTACATTGCCTGAATAAAAAAAAGAAATTCCAAGGGGTGCTGCCACAGCTTGAGATTACTATGGTGATTGCCATCTTGCTCCTTTTTATTCACCTATATCTTTATTCCAGATGGGGGCGGGGGAGAAAAAAAAAAAAAAGCAGTGGACAAAGGCATTAGTCCAGCTCTATAATGCTGCTGAAAGAGGATCATTTATTCCTATAGGTTTAACTGATCTGATGTTGGGCCACTTTCTACAACTGGGAGAGAGAAAATTAATCTTATCCCCATGCACTATCTGGGCAGTTAGAATAATCCCTCAGTTCTGAGCTTTGGATTTCCACAGAGGGTTGGCAATACCAAATTTCCATCAAGCCTCAGCTGTCAGACATTCAGGAAACGATGCATGGGTGTTAAAATAATATGTGAACAAATATTCAGACTGCGTAACAGAATTGGGAACTTCAGATTTAGTTTTAAAAAAGTCCCAGCAATAGAGGCATTTAATTTTAAAAAATCTCAGCAATAGAAAGGCATTTAACTGTCACCAAAGAAAACTTCTAAGGAAGCAATGACTGGCAGGAAGAGTACTACTTTAATTACTCACATGAAAGCTGAATGCTTGAAGAAATGTGATTAGTTAATACAAGTCTGATTGGTGGACAGGCAAACCAGTAGTCCAGGGTCATTAGCTTCCAAAGCATTTTAAATGTCTAGCAGAGCAAACCAAAAATACTGCTTCACAGTTTCTTGAAAAGATCACTGTATGTATAACAAATCATATTTTTTAAAACAGCACATTTATTTAATATAAAGTAGGCATTCGATTTATATAAACTCTTTAAAAGTTGACTTCAATATGTTTAAATTCTTATTTTAAAGCCTTAAGACAGATTTCAGCAATATGTTTTCAAATCAAATGCTAGAGTCAAAAAACCTGGTAACTATACTGTAGTATATCCTGCTTTAATATCTGTTGTATCCTTTACACTCTGGTCTTTGACTCACACTATTCTCCACTTCATAAAGTCAATGCTGCTACCAAACTCATCATCCACATTACCAGGCCTAAGCTTCTTGTAATCACCTCTAAATCAAAAGAGAGTTTTCCCTTCCTCATTTACACCAGATTTCATACCATGCCCTTGAACTTGCAGTTTCCTTCTCTCTTACTTCTCAGCAGTATACAAGTGGTAAAACCTTTCTGAGTTTACCCACAGATCTGGTAATATGTCTGCATTTAAATATTTCGTGTAGTACTGATTATAGCAAATGAAATGAACTTGTGTTTAAAATCTCCTCTTCTCTGGTTTGTTTGTCTATGAGCTACAAGTCTCACATGAGCAGGTAACATCACTTATTTGAAATATGCCTAACAAGTAGCAGGTGATACCATAAGTAAGAAATAAGAGTAAAATTCAAACTAAAACATTAAAGAAAACTGGGCTAGGTTTCTTTTAAGACTCTATTTTAAGGCACACATTCTGTCAAATTTATTCAAAGTAATCTACAAGTCTCACCTCGCAGTATTCAGTGATAATGCAGAAGCTATCTCGCTCCACAAAGCTTGCATAAAATTTGACAATGGCTGGATGGTCTAATTTGGAGAGTAGTTGTGCTTCCAGATTTGCTTCAACTGTTTCATTAGGCTTTAGGTCTCCAACAGAGATTTCCTTTAGAACCTTTCTAGAGGAAAACAAGAAATCTTTATATTAATAAAAAAGAGAAAAATAGAGAATCGTGTAGTGCTTAAAAACTCATCATAATTTTTTTAAACACAAAACAATATTAACCAAGTATTTGGCAACAGGCAACGATGAGGCAAATACGGGTAAACAAAGAGAATGCATTAAAATGCAAATAAATATGCTAGTTACCATAGCGATTCAGCTATATTTTAAAAATACTATTTTGAAGTATTTTTCCCCACTAGCTCCTTACTGCACTGCTTTCTTCATGACATGTTTTCTGTGCTATGGATTAGTGCATAATAATAAACATAAATAAAAAAACAAATCTAAGTGATTTCAAACCCGCTCAGAGCATATGCTCCAGATTCACACATGAAACGAGGAGTAGCAAGAAACTGGTTTTGCTGCTTCTGCCAAAGTCTCTCCATGGAGGCATGAGAAAAATCACAGAGTGTAGTATTTCTGTTACTGGTTTTATGGTGATAAAATCAGGACACTCATCTTTTTTCTGAACATCAGCCTGCCCTTCACCTGAACACCTAAGTGGAAAGTGCAAATCTGGATTTGTGGCTGAAGCTTAATTCTATTGTTCCAAAGAACTCTAAATTTGTTCCGGAAGGCCCTAAACCTTCTATGGCTGAAAAATTAAAAGGGGTTTTTCATATTATTGAATGTTAACATGCAAATGTGCCATAGCAGAATTTGTGAGACTAAGCTCTACATGATACCTGGAGTTGGGGAGTTTACCTTCTACTCATCCTGGAAAATAGCCTCAGTGGAAAGCACTATGAGGAAGGACACTTTGCTGGGATCTTCCTGATTAAATGTTTAAAAAAGGCATATGTCACAGAAAAGCATGTCATTTCCATCTACTTTACCAGCTGCTGAAGAATGGATCACTGGTCTATGTCTGAAGTAGCCATTTGAGGCTATTAGAGAAGATCATGGTATTTTACTGGAATGGTGATGAATTTCCAGTAACTTTTGAATACATGGAGGGTAAGTTCCACACTAAAGGGATGTCTTCACAGCACTTTTAGTAATTTCCCATTCAATTCTACATGGCTGTAAAGTCACAGTAGTTAAACATGACAGCAATAAAACCACTGTAATTCACTTGATCTAAGGAAAAAAAAGACTGTATTTCTTCATAAGAGAATGTCTTCCTAAATCTTAACCATCAGTTTCTGACTAACAATGCATGAATTTGTACATAAACTTGTCTAGTCCCCATCTGTCACCGAGATGAAAAAACATGCCATTTGACTCGTCTGCATCTCTACAGACAAGCTTCACACTACAAAGACAGGTAACAGCTACTGCAATCTTCTCATCTGCAGTTGACATGGGGGCATTATTCCTTCCTTCACACAGATCGTGTCACGCAACTGACAAACAGAATGAGTCCTTGTTAAATACCACTTAATACAAGTTTATTGTACACTCAAGACAGCAATAAAAGCCTGATGTGTTGACATGTAGGGAGAGCTTGTCATCTTAGTCACTCAGTGATTCTGATGCTGTCATCAGCTGTCAGGAAACAAGACAGGTGTTTTTCTTGTTTAAATTCATTCCCAGAAGAACAAATCAGGAAAACGTACTTTTGTAAATAAGCTATTGGTTTTCTGCAACACAATGCTAATTCATATCCAGAACTGGAAGACATCTGCACCTAGAAATAAAACTTTTGTGATACAATTGAGATTAAACATATCTGCATGCCACTGGTATATGTGTGTACTGTTTCTGTGTGTAGATAAGGCTTGATTTTACTGAGTTTAAGATGACAACTGGACTTCACATTTTCTGCAAAGCTTTTGATATCTACTTTAGTAAATGTACTTAAAAATCAAAAATACAAATTTTTAAACTCTACATTGATTAAGTATTGACAAAGTTATGTCAGGGTCTCAGAAGTCTCACGGAGAAAACAGAGTAGTCTCTAGATCTAAATTGGCTCTTTTCTGATAATTTTAGAAGAAAACCAATGAAGCTAAGCCTTCAGTCAGAATTTCATCCATGTAAATTAACTATATTTTTCAATACATAAAGCACTTAAAGAGCACTTAAATTCACTCTACCTCCTTTTCAGTATTTACACAGGTAACTTCCACTCTAACGGGCAGCTAAAATGGACACTTTCTGTGATTTACAGGACTCCTAAGATTACTCAAATTTGGCATTCCTAGAGATGTCAAATAAGCTGATAGTCTTTCTGCCTATCAGAAAAAAAAAAAAAAAAAGGGAGAAGGGGGGGTTGGTAATTGTAAGAAAACAGCAAACTTTTCTTAGCTAAACAATTCTGACTGCATTTTCCCTCTACCAAGAGAATCCAGCTCCACACTTTGAAGGAGACAAAGCGTTTCTGTTGATATGATCCAATCTCCATTTTAAGGTTGGCTTATAGTAAAGAGTAAGTTATCACAGCTCATAATTCAGCCATTGTACTTTTGTATCATCTGCTGAAAATCAGCATGCATTAAAAGCAGTTTAGAAACATATAGTTAGGTAACAAAGTATTTTAAACACACCTTTTGAAGCATGTGACATGAATGTTTATTATGGATATTGGGAACAACAGACTCTCCTGTTAAGATTTTGTCAAGACTCCATCTGAAGCACACAGGTCATTCTGAAAGTCAAGTTTTTTCATAAAATCTGCCCCTATAGTTTCTGCCACTTAGGCTCATGTATTAAACAAGATTTAAAAGGTCCAAAACTATTTACCTCAACTAAGAAATCATAGCTTTAGGTGGCACATGCAGAAAAACAGGTAAAACCACTAAAATGTGGATGGCCTCCAAATACAATACTTAAAACTACTCCTTTTGATGTAATGGTAAGAGAGATGTACTAATTTAATTTTATTTATTATTATAAATTCTACTTAATTTAAAATACAGACACATAGGCAGATCATAGAATAATTTAGGTTGGAAAAGACCTTTAAGATCATCCCATCCAACCACAAACCTAACACTGCCAAGTCCACCACTAAACCATGTCCCTAAAGATGAAATGTCAGTGAATACACACCTGGAAAACTTTAGTGCTAGCAGATATCTTAACTTTAAGTACAGAACAAAAGATTTTAACTGTGTGGAAAAAAAACCCAACAAACCTGGCCTTGCAATTTAATAATGCAAAGACACTTTGAACTTGATCTTGAGGTGACCACAATTGAAAGAGTCTTGTAGTGAATGCATTCACATCTTAAAAGGAAAAAGCGTCGGCTGTCGCTATTTACATTCATCGTGGACAAAGCTGGGTCCAGTAGAGGTAACAGCATCCTTTCCCCCAGGGTGTGAAAATAACATGATGTAAGCCGACTGCCCACCATACAGAAAGCAGCTGTGCTGCCTTCGCAGTGCCCGTGCCTCGGCAGGCTCACAGGCTTTCCCCAGGAACACCTTCTGGCTTTCATCAGCAAAACCTTGCTGGCTTGCGCCGGCACGCTTTGAAACACAGCCCGGCCAGCACACCGTGGCTGAAAGCGCAGTAACGTGGAGCAAATGGGCATAAATAGAGCAAGACTTAAAACAAGAGAAAAACAAGCACGGAGGT